GGAAAGGGAGAGAAGGAAAAGTGGAGGGATGCAGGGAGTGAAAGGAAGGAGATAGTGGTGTACAGTCATGGTGTGTTTGTGTGTCTGTCCTGTTGTATTTTCTGTCTCAACATGTGTATCTGAGTTTGTGAGGGTGTATCTAAATTTAGGTTTTATCACTCTTGGTGAGCATGTGGGACTTTTTTTGTGTGGCTGTGAATTGGCATTGACATCTACATACACACACAGTGCTCACTTTTTCTTCTCCTGCATGTGTGTCTTCTTGGATTGATTGAATCTTGGTTCGATCTGAACTCCGTTTTGGGATCCAAAGCTTGCACAACCTTGCCATTGGCTCTAACCGAGATGCACAAACAGTACTTGCCCACTCACACACACACACACACATACACACACACACACACACACACACTGGAAAAGACACCAACAAACAAACCTTATAAAAGCCCATGCATCACATCTATATTATCTTGACAAATCTATACATCATGTCAGAGCATGGCTTTATGTGAATATTGCATTTTGCTGTGTGTTATTGGTGTGTGTGTGTGCAGAGAGGATATGAGAAGAGTGCGTTGGCGCTTTGTGCTGCAGGTTGAGATGGGACGGGGCGACAGTGAGAGAGCGTTGTCCATTCTAATAGGGCCTTGTTAGGCCTCTGACAGAGCCAGTAACGCCACTGTTGGTGGCTATTGATTCCCGACCGACGCTGTTATTGATGAGTGAGAATTTAATTCAACCAGCTCGTTTGTCAACATGACATCACCATTTAACTACGACCATGACATGGATGCGAACACCCACCGATGATCTGGGTCACACACACGCACACACACACACAGAAAGGCGAATAAGAGACCACACAAGCACACACACAAACACTTTCCACACACACACACGCACGCACACATGCGGTCTGATTGATACACTGCGTTTCATGGAGGCAAAGTAATAATTTCTCACTTGGAACCTGCTGTTGCCGTTGCTTCTTCTGCATCATTTACAATAAAAAATAATTTTGGTCAATTTTCAAACACCGTGTTCAACCAGTCAAATCAATCATTCAAAATGAATAACAGGCAATTACCAAGAGTGCAATAAACTGTATGACTAATGCATGGCCCATGTTATGACTAATGTATAGCCTAAGGATACTTCTGGCTCTTTCTGATTGGATAAATATTTTATGCCACATCCTGACCTACAGCACATGACATAGAAAACATGCTGTAGTGAGGAATTGAACAAATTGTTTTCTATGAATACGTTTGTTTGGAACTAGTGTAGGAGAGCAAAACCATCACCACACCACCAAATAAAGTACATTTTAACAAGCAGGTTTTTTTCCTTTTTATTTATTTATTAAAGCATTACATTAATATTGTGCCTTTTCTTGGAAAATGTAGAGTAATTGCATCTGGTCATTAGTGAGTGACAATTGTCGGCATAAAATAAATGTAATCATAATAAATACGTTTTTAATAATTGTTCCCATTTGCCAACTATGCAAAGAAAAGCAAAGTAAGGTTGCAACATTTTATTAACTTTTTAATTTTGCAGTTACATGTCATGCATTGATCGAGTGGAAAAACTGTAATAAAATACCAGATAATGTAAAGAATTTCCATCTATTAAAAATGGACAACAGATGAAAAGCACCCTTGCAATCATGAACAAATTTATGTATAGTAAATGTCCTGCTCCCACAGCAATTTGTAGACTTTGCAGAATATACATATTAAAATTGTGACATCCTGCCAAAACTACAGCATAGACATAATGTAGAAAGTACTAGAAATGCAATCCTTTAAAAGCTGTATTCATTTTGTCATTTACAGAAAAACAGTGTGACCATTTTTGTGCAGAAAGAAAATACAGATTTCAAAAACGCACGCCTTTAGAAATATAATTTTAAAATGTCTGCGATGATAAAAAAGTAGATATTTTACACCCAATATACAATAATCACTGGACTTACTGGATACTGCTAGTATCCAGTATCCAATATTACATATATTATAGTATTTCTCTATCTGAAAAAATAGTGGCAAAGAGAGAGAGAGAGAGAGAATTTTGGAAGAGCATTTTTCAATACAGCAGGGGGAAGATACAGCCTAGAAAACAATGGAACCAGCTATATATCTCTGTATGGATTGTAAGGCTTGATAGGGAGGGAGGTGGACAATCAGGACCATGTGGGCCCCCGATGAGAGCGGTCCAGCAGGGGTTATTGGCTGGAGCATACCCCCTGGGGGAGCTCTCTCTCTCTCTCTCTCTCTTTGGGCCCATGGGTCTCTCCCAGGGTCCCTGGGGAGTGAAACTGTAGAGACTGACTCGCTGCAGGGGCCCTATAGGCACCAAGCAAGAAACACAGTGAGGGGGGCAATCTGCTGAATTCTGGTGGTCAGTCTTAGACACAGACACACAGATGGACAGATGCCATCTCCAGGTATTATAGCCTTTGGATTCTTGTGATTGAGTCTATTTTACTTGTCTACCTGAAAGAAAAGGCCAGCCAGAGAAAGAAAAGAAAAGAGAAGAGTTTGTTTCTACTTTGAAAGTTTTTAGGACTAACGTTGACTTTAGGATAATGACATCCAAGCATCCTCTGCCTGTTTGAGTTCATCAGAAATTCATCTGCAAGTGTTTTAATGGGGGTGTCTTTTTACACGAGTGCTGATAGTTTTCTGTTGTCTTTTTGCGGTCATGTCAGATGGAGGAAAAAGAAGAGTTTGGTCAGAAGAGTGGGTTGAGGACGAGTCGGGTGGATGCTGTAGGTACTCGCATCCCTCCTCCTCCTTCTCCTCCTCCTCACCTCCCCATCCTCCTCTACCCCTCCAACACCATCTTATTTTCCCCTCCTTCAATCTCACACACCCTCCCTCCATTCCTCTCTTCCACAGACGCGCACAACCACACTACATTCTACAAGAAATAATTGCTTTTGTCTGGAAGGAGTGTAGGGAGGAGGGAATGGGGGCGCGCATGGCTCCCTCTGTGGAGAAAGGGGGTCTTTGAAGGACAACTAGTCACTTCTCCCTTCCCTCCTTCTTTCTCCTCTCTCCTTTTCTTGCCTCACTTCCCTTCCTCCCCTCTCTCATTTGCTTCCTCACCTTACTCATTTCTGCTCTTTTCTATCAGTTTTCCTCCTCTCCTTCCACCTATTCTTACTCTCCATCTCTCTCCTCTGTCTCCCCTCCTTCTCTCTCCTCTTCCTCTCTTCTATGTTCTCCTCTTGCTCCCTTCCCCTCCTCTCCCTCATTGGACCTGCGGATGTCATCTGTCATACGTGAAGCGGAGGGAGAAGGACAATAAAACCTGGTTGTCTCCTACAGAGAATGACACATTTTTCATAATTAAGGATACGCCAGTTTGGTGTGCAGCACATATTTCTTGACAATATGGCTGTCTGTTGATGAAGGAGAAAATGACAAGTCTTGTGATAATAACAAAATTGTATGTGCAATTTCCATTAAAACAGGCCTAATCACTCGCAGCATTAAGTGAGCAGGTATAAAGAGCCCTAGGGGAAGGGCCTTTCTGCCCTACAGGAAAAAGAGCTTGCTCATTCCTATTGATTTGCCCGTATTGACTGCGATGTTTAAGGTATAGATTTTTCTATTTAAAAATCTATATTGACAATAATCTAGTGTGTAAGCGCCGGGCGTTGACTGATGCTGGCCTGTAATTGACAGTGTGTAACATGTTGGTGCAGGGAAGGGAGAGGGCAGGAGGCTAGCAGAGGCATGCTGGGGAGGCCGACATGCTTGGCCCAGATGGAGGAAACAAGATCCGGGAGCAGGAGGGAGGAGAGGGAGGTGGTGATCACCTCTGTCATGAAGGAGCTCATCCCCTGACACCCAGGCTCTCTTATGTATTTTTATACATTTTTTAACTTTATTTATGTTATGGTTTTTAAGAACCTATTTAAAATGCAAACATGAAAATTGTCCATGCATAGCCTATGTTGCATTTATCTCACTGTTTACTATATTCACCTAAAAGTACCTCCAGGCTGCAAACCAGCTTCATATTTCTCATGCTTGGAACAGCAGTGGTCACTCTTGTCTTCCTATATCTGAATAACATAATGATACACCCTCGTCCACCCAGGAGGGCTTATTAAAAGCAGCTGTGATGAGATAACTTAATTGTGTGCATGCTGGGTATCCTGGTAGGTATTAGCGTTAAGCACTTATAGGTATCCATGGATTCTCTTATCTGGTCTTCATCCCTTCCCAAGCAGGCCTCTAGTAATGCACTGATCACCATTGGCATCATTATAGCCGGTATTATTAAGAGGGGTGAAAAAATCCAGAAATCAATACAGGATACCTTTTGCAGCGGTGGTGAAAATGAGGGAGATGGGGGGGGGGGGGTGGGAGGGAGGGAGGAGGGAGGGGATGTATGGAGGGAGGGAGGGAGGGAGGGAGGTGCGGGGGTGGGGTGGTGATGTGTGAGTAGTAGCGGGTCCTCTTTCGTCTCAATGTTGCGGCCAGCCTAGTGGCAGATCGCTACAATCCTGGAGGGAGCCGGGTCGAATGAGCTATTGGGGTTCCCAAATAATAACGGGGACAAACAGACAGACAAAAAAGACACACAGACGGATGGACGGAGATAGGCAAGTGTTCCGATAAAACGGGATACCATAACCGGATCATATACGCTTTCTTATTTCTGTTGTTTTGTGTTGTAGTATTTTAAATAATTTATTTATTCGCTGTATTTATTTATTTATTTATCGATTGATTGCGTTTTAATTACTGTCTTGTGACAGAGCGAGGGAGGAGGAGCGTCAGGGCCAAGCGCGCGCGTTGTGTTTGTGTGTGTGTGTGTGTGTGTGTGTGTGTGTGTGCAGCCTTTTCCCCACTTGTTTATTTATTTGTTGACGTTAGCCTTTTAAAGAAGCTGTTTTAAATGTGCTCGCGACGTGATCCGCAGCTTTGCGCGAGCAGATGAATGTCTTACATGTAGCCTTCATGCAAAGGAGCGAGAGAGAAGGAGCGCGTGCAGCTAGAGACCAAATACAATAGATCAAACCAAATACAGAAATCCAAATAAGACTTTATAACTCTGCTGGCCTTTTACACGGTCTTGTCGTTTCTATGTATCATCATTTACTGTGGTGTTTTAAATTTAAAAGCGAATACCAAAGCTAAGGCCGGCCGGGGATGCTACAGGAGTAGGCTAGTGACTGTTCTCATGCCTTTTCACACCTATAGGAAACATTACTGGTGAGGAGTGAGAGGAAAAATAAGCTCCCGGGCCTTTATGTTTACTCAAGGAGAACGCTTTAGCAGCTCAAGGGTAACAGAGAGACGCAGGTGCATCAACGACGGGCAGGTGACACACAGCCTTTTATTATAAAGCTACTACAATAGGCCTGTAATTGTTACACAACTTTTCCTGTAGCCTGTAGAAGTGAGGTCTGATCTCCTGTCTATCCGTCTGTGTGTTAGTCTGGACTGTACGCTATCTGCTGCACTCAAGGGACCATCCTACATATATGTTCTATGCACATTTACACCAAAACTAATGCCGACCACTAGTCGACATACATACATGTAAATAAAAGTGCGCAGCTGGGCTACATGTGTACACACATAACGGCGAATGTTGTGAGCTCTCCATACCAAATATTTCCCCAAAGCTGTCTACCAGAGAGACGGACGACGATACAGAAGCTTCAGAAGAGCACAGAGCTTGTTACAGTACTTCTGTCAGATTATTTGCATCAAAACAAGAAGCCGGAGGAAGATCATGTTTGTTCCTTTGCCGGTGCCGTTCGTGTTTCAGAGAACTGCCCCTGACCTCAACGCCTGGCGCCTCAAGTCCCCTCTGGCTCTCCGCTCCAACTCCGGTAAGACATTTTTTTTCTCTTCTCTCTGCTACACATCCTCCATGTCGGTCAGACTCAGCCATGCAGACCCGCCCCGCCTTGCTCGGTGCCGATGCACTTGCAGCGGGTAGAGCAGTCGGCGCACACACCCACTTACACACGCACACACACTCCTCCGGTTCCTTTTGAAGGCTTAAACAGAGTCCTTTACACTCGCGGGGCGGTTGTTCAAATCAAAGAAGCTTCCCTGGGCGCGCTGGAGCGTTCAGACTGATTGAAATTTAATTGCGTAAAATGTCCGTTTTTGCTGTCCAGGAACGATGCGCCACCGTTTCACCCGTGTGTTGATTAATTTCCACGTCGCCTATTTTCCTTTCTCCGTGTTTTTCTCTCTCATGTCTCCGTCCCCATCCTTCCCCTCTCCTCCACTGCCTGCGCCTGAGCCTCATCCTCCGTCTCTCCCCAACTAGTCTCTCGGCAGGCAGGGAATATTCATGCCAACTTATCGATCCTGCGGAGATCGATTCCTGGGCCGGTGGAAGCAGGGAGAGGGGGAGATAGAAGGAGAGAGTAGGTGCACGGAGGAGTACAAACGTACGAGAGGAGAGAGAGAAAACAGCACCATTCTCTCGTTTTATTTCACACTGTTTTGCGATCGTGCTTTATTTCATGTAAATTATGTGTTGGAGACTCGAATTTGAGCTTGCCGAACATCTCTGATTCGCCGTGGTGACTGGTTTTTGCTCTGACTTGCATCCTGGTTAGAGGACAAGGCTGGAAAGTCACTTCCAGTGACTACATCTCTGTGTCCCATTGCTGCTTGGTTGCTGCACGGTTGAAAGCGGTGGAGCAGAGGGAGTGTGGAGTCAGGGAGGGGGAGGGTGCCGGCTGGGGCTGGGGCGCTGTCTGCGTTTCATCTGCGCTGAAGCGGAATAAAAGGACGCATGGTGGGAGCAGCCAGGCTGGCTTCAGTGTGTCACTGATTGCCGTTCAGAGCTCCAGCTCAGTCCAGCTTCGACTCTTTTCTCAGACATGCAACAGCTGCTCAGCCCTTTCCCCCCTCTACATCTTTGAGGGGAAGGATGCGCTGGCTGGGAATGTGTTTTCTGTCCTGTATGAGCACACTGATGGACTGCAGAGTATAGAGAAGTAAGGGAGAATATCGTATGAGGTCAAGGAGCTTTTATTTCAGACACATTTCAGTATTGTTGTGAGTTATTCACTAATGCATACACATACAGCAACTTGAGTATCAGGATGTAATGGTGCATAAATGTTTCTGGTGTGCACTTTAGCCAGTGGTTGGGCTCTTAAAGGGGCAGCCCACCCCCTCCCCAATCCAAGTACAGTGCTCCCCTCTCATTTCCAGATCAGTTCGAGCACATTTGATTTCAGAGATGCCAGGCTTCACCCTTACTCCTCATACCCAGTCAACAGTGCACAGCATGTGACAGTGAAGGAATAGGTGACAGAGAGAAACAGATTGTAGAGGGATGAGGGGGGACCTGTTACCAACCTTATCTCTAGAGAGAAGAGAAGGGGTTGGAGGGAGGGCGAGGGGATGGAGCGGGGACCTTGGAGGAGGAGTTTTCGCGCTCAGCACGTTGAAAAATGGCGAATGTCAGAATGAGATAAAAAAAATGTGGAAAGAGAGAGCGGGAGAGAGAGGGAAGTGGGTGAAAGTAAGAGTAGATGACAGAGTGAAAAACGAGGAGGGAGAGGAAAACCCAGTTTGAGCTTGAGAGGTGAGAGTAAACCACGGATGAGCCATTATGTTGCAGCGTCCGGGGTTAGGGCCAGCATCTGAATAAGTAGGCACACTGATGGGATGTGTACACAGGCTGCTGGACTCCATAGATGGTGGGATAACATTCACAATTCTATGCTGATTTTATTCCATTCTGATAACACAATACAAGGTGCTGTCCTTTTCATACTCCGAAGGTTTGTCTCTAAAAGTGTTCAGGGTCAGTTTAACATCCCAGGATGGAAACAGGACTATTGTTTCTTCAAGAACTGTGCGCTTACAAGCCACAGGGGACGGCATCACATGAGCGTTTTTACTCACAAAAATACCAAGATAGAGTCAACACACCCCAGATGTGTCTTCACTAACTTTGTCAAGTTCAGTCTTTGTGTCCTTGATCTTTGATCTGTGCTTTTCCAACCTCCACTGATAGTTCCCACAAAACATTTTAATTCCCCCCCTCCACTTACACATACAAACACAGCTTTTCTGGGGAGTTATAGGACTCTTGACTCAAGCTCTTTAACTGGTAGCGGCTCCTTGACTCCTTTGAATTGGAGCTTTGTGCGGGGTCAGAGGTCACAGCATCAATGTTTGACTCAGCCCCAACTGACCCTTCTCTGCTTCCTCTGTTTTCATTCTCTTTCATGTTACAACAGGCCTCGAGCACTCATGCACAACTCCTGTGGGGGCTCACATACACACACACACACACACACACACACACACACACACTGACACATACACATTGTCATGAAACAGACAGACCATCATATACCATAAAACAAGCATGTAAGACCATTTTCCACCTGGATAGTGAGCTGCTCTAACTGATCCAGGTTTGTTCTATTTTTAATGGCACTGTGTCTGTGAAGGTACAGGTCAGGGTCACCACTCTGTGAACTATTTGTGTGTGTGTGTAGTAAAGTGGTTTGTGAAGCCATCAGCATTAACTGGTGTATGAAAGTTTAATGGGACATAGAGGAGAAACCTCAGGTTGATATGATATGATGGGACATCAAGGAGACTGGAGACTGGAGACTGCTTTTCTTTTTCTCTCACTCTCTCTCTCGCTCTCTCACTCACACACTTACACAAACACCTAGATTCAGTTCATCTCAGCTATGCACCTTCTTTCACACACCATTAACCACCATCTCCTACAATATACCATATAACTTTCTCACACACACAAAGACACCTCAGATTTTAGACTCATTTTATTTCTGTCTCTGAGTTTCAGAGTAACATTTATCATACATTTATTCATATGTTTTTACTTAAAGTAGTGTTTTTACTTAAAGCAGTACTTAAAACGTTCAGTCTTAATCCGTTAATCACCATGTCTGCAGTTCTGTGTCTGTGCTTCATGGCCACTTTCAAGACATTTTTACACGCGTTTTGGGTCTGTCTTCGATGGCTCCATGATGTGAGACCATGCATGTGCTTACCCATTTGCTGAAAGAGAGACAGTGTGTTTATGTGTGTGCACAAGCTTGAGCACACGTGCAAACTAGTGTGTGTAGGTATAGATCGGTTTGTGGAGGGGAGCGTGCAAGTCGCAGTGTTAACATGATTGCAAATGACAAAATGTCAACCTGGGTTTGTTAGCAACATAATGGGGAATCAATAGACACGAGAAAGATGTCAATACTACATGCTTTATTGCATTAAGCTACCTCTCTCCTTCTCTGTAGCCCTCTCTCTCCTCTCCCTTTTCCTTTCTCTCCCACTCCCTCCTGCTCTCTGTCACAATACAATTCTCTCTCCCTCAGCTCCTCTCCCTGTGGTAGTAGAATTAGATTGCAGTATATGAGCCAGCCACAGGGTCCTGAATGCTGCAGGCAGATGGCAAAATGCTTCAGAAGCTAATGGGTCCGGCTATTTACGTATATTAGGCTCACATAGATGCCCTCGACACACTTTGACAAGATGACGAGACGTGGAGCTGCAGCAGTTTGAAGAGAATTGTAATCATAAGATATAAATAAAATCATCTGGCAACAGAAACGGGTTGTATGTGACAATATAGCCCCATTTCTGAGAATGTAATCACCTGCTCTGGCAGTTATGTACTTATGGTTCTTTTTAAATATAAACATAGCGTTTGGTAATTAAACCTGTTACATGTTTTTTGATTAATCGTCAGTCTCTAAATGTGTAATTATAACATTGCATTATTTGTGTTATAGCAAGGTCGGAAAATTCCTTTTAATCCTATTAACTGTTTTCTTTTTTTTATGGATTAGCACAGGTGTGCGTATGCGCGAGTGGGTTGTATTTGTATACAGTATGTGTATGTGTGCTTCCATTGATGGTTGAGACTAATGTAGTATTAATGCTGATGAGGTCCCACAGCTCATTAGCAACAGTGAGTGGTATTGAATGTCTCCCAGGGAACAGGACAGACCAGGACACACACACACACACATATACAGTACATCCTCATCAGCCATTAGTTTATTAATAACCATTACCACACACACATATAAACACTCTCAAACACACACTCTGTCAACATACAATGACCTTTACACATATGCTTTTAAATATGAATTCTCTAACAAAGACACATAGAACATACACAGTAGGACACAGCAAGAAATCATGCAAACGTCTTCATCCAAAGAGCCGGCCATTATTTTTGAATGTGTTCGCTACATATTATATCATTGGAATGGCACACTCACATACACAGACTTACACTCGGAGGAATATTTTTTTATCCACTTGGTTGCTGTGTGCAGTGAAATACAGCCCAGCATTAGTCCTAATCAGAGGCCGGGTGAGCAGGCCACTTAATCAGACCTATCACCTGGAGAACACACACAGAAAGGGATAGATGGAGTGTGTGTGCAGGCAGTTAATCAACACATCAGCAGGAATAAACACATACAAACCACCTGACTCCATTGTGGGTATTGATTTATACCTCCTTCTGTGTTTCTCGGAGCCACTCTCTCTCTCTCTCTCTCTTACAGCAACATACAGATGATGTACATACTGAGAACTCATGCACACTTGACCTCTAGACATCCTAGGGACATCCTGTTGTGTGCTTGGATGCTCGGTCAGTGGTGGCCTGGCTGTGATCAGGTTGGAGTGGGCTTCGCCACATGCTGCCAATCATCCACATCAGACTTGAACTCCCGCTGACCATATTGAACAGTTGATCAGCTGGTGTTAGTGCTGTTTTTCAACTGAGATTGCCCGATTTATTCAAACATCAGTGGAAAGGCTTCACAGCAAACTCCATGCATTCCTCCTGTCAGAG